TTATGGAACGTATTTTTCCCCACATTTACATTCGACGACAAAGCATTAAAATATCTTTAAAACGCTTTCTCCATTTCTTACTTCGGGGAGATGGATTGTAGTCTAATTTTTTCTCTCCGTGATATTTGGTATTTTGATTTTTGTACACGAAGTCAGAGAAATTTGATACTTTTAAAGTCGGTATTTCTTCTTCTTTTTATTCTCCATCTTATTCCCTAGGTGGGGTCAGCACAGCGTTCTATTCCATTCTCTTCTATCAGCCGTCATCTCAACAACCACTCCTCTCTCTCTCTTAACGTCATTCACACACTCCATCCATGTCTTCTTCGATCGATCTCTTCCCCCTCTACCTTGCACTACCGTTTCCGTACATCGCCTAGTGACACATGTATCTTCTATCTACGCATCACATGTCCATTTAAAGTCGGTACTTCATCTATCTATACTAATATTATAAAGAGGAAAGATTTGTTTGTTTGTTTGTTTCGAATAGGCTCCGAAACTACTGAACCGATTTGAAAAATTCTTTTTCCATTAGAAGCCGACATTGTCCCTGATGAACACAGGCTATTTTTTTTAAAAAAAATATTTTTTTTTGATTTCATGTGTGTTTTAATGTTTCCGAAGCGAAGCGAGGGCGGGTCGCTAGTGCCTTATAAAGGTGTTAGATGATCTACTTTAAGTATTGTTTGTGTACCGATTTTTATTGGTTTCCGTCAAGAGTTTTTCGCGGAATGTTCATTTGCTATGTTCGATGTCTATAGATCACGCAGTTTCTCTGGCTTACTCGTGAGTTTAAGTAACCGGCTGAAATATCACCATACCTATCAATCCAGTAACGGCGCAATTTTTATTTATTGCGTAATACATAATATTTATTGCTTGCCTATTTAGGTTGATGAGCTTAGGGTTCACCTAGTCTCAAGGGGTTATCGGAGCCCAAAGGCATACATATGCATATAGGCATAACTTAAATGTGGTCATCTACCTTGAGACATGAGTTCTATGTTTTAGTTTATACGATACAACAGCTGCTCCACCATTTAAAACGAACCCATTATTGTTTTATGGCGGTAATAGATAGAGAAGTGGCATATACTCATGGTTCTCAACGCCCCCTAACATAATAATAATAATAAATAAATCCGGCCAGTTTTTGTTCATTGCTATTGAAAAAATATAATTTTTAGATTGCTTTCAACTTTCAGAACATTTATTACTATTGAAATTATTGAGGTGATTTATATTCCATGCGTGGTTATCGGAAAGCTATCGATTTTTAGAACTAGACCGCCCCTGACACTTATTGCATGTTTTAAATTCATATTAGTTATTGTTATGTTACAAGCCAAAACCGGTCCAGTTATGATTGTCACTAAGTGTATTATACAATAAGCCCATTTATTCAAACTCCATGTATACTAACTAACGTTAATATGCGACATATTAATGTTGCTGACACATGAATTATGTGATTTTTATCTTCATAATAATAATATGTAAATACAAAAATTAAATTTATGAATAGTAGTCGTCGTGGCCTAACGGAGAAGACGTCCGGTGCATTCTTGTTGAAGCGATGCACTGGTGTTCGAATCCCGCAGGCGGGTACAAATTTTTGTGATGAAATAGGGTAAAACCTGGATAGATGCCGCAGCGGGATAGATGCCTCATGTTCTAAAAACCTAACTTCCCGCACTCATGACAAAAAAATTATTGAATAAGTAGGAACCACAGTCACCATAAACCTTATATACCATTTGACAATCGCGTGGTGACGAAGTGTTTTCCTCGTGCATGTAATTTTCTCCGCGCGGAATTTCACGAACACGTCAAAGATTTAAAGGTTAATATTTAGCGTGGTATAACTTTATAATTAGTGTAAAATTCCATTATATTTTTTACTACGTGAATATATTGGTTCATTGAGTCTGCATCTAGGTGTAAATAAATGCTATTAAGTTTATAATTTATTTACAAAAAAATTGGGTATCTATCCTTATCACAAAGGATAGTTGCCCTGATTTTTTGGGGTATAGGTGCCTTTAGGGGCATCTATCCCTCTATACTCTGCCATTTCAGAATATAGCTGAAATATGGCACGAAAACATAAAACACAAATAAATGAATTACAGTTCAAGCAGCGAATATGAAGACAATCCACTTAACTATAAAATGAAAGGAAATAAAACAATAGATTTGCCCCTAAAGAAATCTAAGGGATAAACCTAAAACGCATGTAAATATATAAACTATAAAAATACGAAGTCGCAATCGGACTGGATTCAATGTTTAATGTTTCAGAACTAGCTACATAAAACGTGTTTTTCAGAAATGATGTAGAAGATGTGGAAAATTGAAAGCACTATCCAGTTAAACTTCAATTTGACAAAATAATAAAAATATCTTTATTGTGTTAATTTAATATAAAAAATATGATTTTGCAATGTACACATTGACACTTAATAAAGTGAATATTTTATAAACAATTAAGAATTTATATTTTTGTTGAATAAATATTTGTAAAATTTAATTTAATAAAAAAATAGGATTATGCATGTTGAAACTAACAAAATTGTAGTTTAGCTTACGCTTACTTAACGCTTTAAAAATTTAATTATGATCATTTGTGTGATATGAGAATTATCTTTTAATTATAAACATTCAAAGACTTAAAAAATACAAAATATTTTTTATTATTATGACCCATGTTTCTTGGAGACAATTGCTCTGTTAGGAATAGAACTTCTTAATATTTGGATTGGTTTTTTCGTTTACACGGTATAAAGGGCATCTATCCTACACTGCAAGCATCTATCCTACTCAGTATTTTCTTGGTGGGGCAAGTATCCATACAGGTAGGCATCTATCCTCCAAAAAAAGGTTCTACGCAAAACGAATTTCTGCAAAATCTGTATTTGATAGGTTTAAAAAAATTAATACTAATTAAACATAAAGGATTGAGCTAACTACATTAATAGAAATTATTCGTATAAAATTAATATTTTCAAAATTACATGACTATTTCAAAAAGTGGGGCATCTATCTCGGCTTTACCCTACATACTCAACAACTGTTCACGATTGACTTCCACGGTGAAGGAATAACATCGTGTAATAAAAATGAAACCCGCAAAATTATAATTTGCGTAATTACCGGTGGTAGGACCTCTTGTGAGTCCGCGCGGGTGGGTACCACCACCCTGCCTATTTCTGCCGTGAAGCAGTAATGCGTTTCGGTTTGAAGGGTGGGGCAGCCGTTGTAACTATATTTGAGACCTTAGAACTTGTATATCTCAAGGTGGGTGGCGCATTTACGTTGTGGATGTCTATGGGCTCCAGTAACCACTTAAAACCAGGTGGGCTGTGAGCTCGTCCACCCATCTAAGCAATAAAAAAAAAAGAATAGTTCTACCGATCATCACTTCTCCTTCACTCTTCAGTCTTTTCTATTATTGTCCAGTAAAGTAATGAACTGCTACTTGTTATCTCGTTCTAAGTAAAGAGTAAGAGTAAAGACTCACTCACTCAAAAACTCATTAATGAGTTCAAAAATATTGGTTACCTTCATAAAAATGCCGAAGCAATCAAACTGCTGATACATAAACACCTCATAAATTCTCTGGAAAAATTTATAAACTCCAATAACCATTTTTATTGCGAAGCTTTAGCGAATCGTAATAATGAAATTCCAATGTTGATTAGATTTTCTCTCTCATTTTATTTTCATCTCATTAAGTTCCCCGTATAATAGTTCTACGACCAGACAATTCTGGACCGAAATGAATTTCGGCTCCTCGAATTCTAATTTATCGTTCGATTTGATTAAGATTTTTCTTGTTCTTTGTTGGGAGTGCGTCTTCGTTCCACTTTCAAAGAATTTTAAGTATAGCTTTATGTCAATCAAACTAAACAAGGATCTTTCTAGATCTTCTAATTGAATTCAGTTTTCGTTTCTTTTCCTTCGATTTAGTATCATTTAAAACTTTTTTCTTTTTGTCTTGGGTTAAGTTTGAAACTTAGAAGCAAACGATTTACTAGTTATTCTGTTTGAATTTGAATAAATGAACTAAAGCATCAACAATAAGACTAAACACTACTCTACACAAATATTGCAGATTCTAATATAAAAACATAATATCCAAAAGTATTCCTGAATTTTATGATTCTTCTTCTTCGTCGCTTTCTTCATTGCTGAAGGTCGTGTCCCTGAAACTTGACCGTTGCCTGTCTCGTGAGCTGTTTCCATCTCGTCCGGTCCTCAGCTGCTCGAATGGCGGTTGCGACTGGCAACCCAGTTAGAGCGGTTACTTGATCACACCAACGGCTAGGTAATCGGCCGTGGGGTCTCTTTCCTTCTACTTTGCCCGTCACAATCACTTTGTCCAAGTTATCTGACTGTCGGCGGGCAATATGACCGAAGTAGCTGAGGATCCTCTGGTAACAGATTGTTGAGAGCCTGACTCGGATGCGAAGCTGATCCAGGATAGATTTATTTGTCCTCTTGGCCGTCCACGGAATTCGGAACATTCGTCTCAAGCACCACATTTGAAATGCATTTATTTTCGTGCGCTCGGATGCCCTAATTGTTTTTTTTTTATTGCCATTGTAGGCAGACGAGCATACGGCCCACCTGATGGTGAGTGGTTACCGTCGCCCATGGACTTCAGCAATGCCAAGGGCAGAGCCAAGCCGCTGCCTACCGCTGCCTACCGTCCAGGACTCTGCCCCGTAGAGAAAAATTGAGAAAACTAAGGTTCCGACGAGTCTCATTTTCGTGACGTTAGAGACTCTGCGATTTTGCCAAATTCGTTTGAGCTTGGTCATCGCTGTTTTGGCCATCTTTTTGCCAATTTTATGATTACTTAACGCAAAATTTGCAAATTTTATTGACAGAGTTCATGAATTATTGATGGCTGCGTTTTATATAAACAGTCCCTCAAACAAATGATAACACACAATAACAAATGATTTTTTGTTTAACTAAATTTATTCTGACAGGTCTCATGGATCAGACACCGGGATATCCACCTTCTAACGTCAGGAAGAATGACGTATACATCAGACCAGAGATTCATCAGCGTCCACAACCCTCACACTGAGGACTGGATTCTCAAAGTGAGCTATTTTAAATCTATTTAGTTCTATTACTTTCTTTTTACACTTTGACAGCCGTGGACATCGGCGCCCTACGTGGCGCACTGAAGTAATTATGTCTATTTCCCTATTCGATCTTCTTACTAAGGCGCCGGAATATCTACTAGACTCTGGGAAAGACAAATCCGGGGGTACTAAGAATTAATTTATTTTTAAGGCGCCAAGAAGACTAAAACATACATTAACAAACAAAAGAAGGTAAAGTTAGGCAATTTAGATGCTTAGTAACAGAATTCGACATAGTTACTTCAGTGCGCCGCGTAGGGCACTGGCGACGTACGTGGCAGCCAAAGGGTTAGGTTAGGTTAGGTTAAATCTGAAAATCTTACCGGTAGTAGTAATCCCAAGGCTATTCTAAATCGGATTATTAATTGTATTTCCGGTGGTCACAGGACAAAAGATAATTCTGGTTTGAATTTGTTGAATATAGTTTTTATTTGTTTGAAATATATTATCATTATTACATATAATATAATTTTTTGTAAAGATATACACCGTGTAAATAATGTGATGCTAATAAGCTTTGTCTTGATAAAAATTGAAAGTGACACTTGATGGGGTTCAGATCAGGCCGTCGCGTAAGTCGTTACGAAAGCCCATAGCTATCTCAACTTGTATGCACGAGACAATAGTCAATCGAAGTGTCAATTGGTTTTCCTACGGCTTTCCTACCCTTGAAACCCGACCGTATGCTTCCATAGCTGTAGAAACAGGTAAGACCTTACCCTTGTGTGGGTATAATACGCTGCACCATAGAGTAATTAAAATAACCAAACCACCCTCAAAAGATAAATTCTCCACGCCAAAATTTCACTTAACTTGATGCAATTTAGTTGACTGCTCCCAAAATGGCCTGCACCGACCTTAATTGCTTCACGCTCGTATTTCGTAATGGCTACATATAAAATAATTATTTCTCTTGCAGATAAGGTTTCCGCAGCGTCGAGACTCTGGTATCTATGAGTGCCAAGTGGGCACGACACCGCCTATTGGTCACAGAATGTTTTTATCTGTTGTTGGTAAGATTTTTCATTAAGAATTATGATTTTATTTCTTTAAGAAAACCGTAATTTGTCTTTTTTTGATTGGCTATTGAAACGGATAGTGTATGATTTTATACCTTGGCTCTAAACATGATCCTATTTTGGAAGACAAAATATTGTTTATCGCTGCGTTTGCTAGTTGAATAACATTCTAAAACTCACTTTGAACATCTAATAGTCCACATGTTGTTAAATAACGAAGCTCAATGATATCAGTTTGTGTATGATGACAATAATATTGAAACCGAAAACTGGTGACTGTCTTACCTTTTAAAACTAGAACGCATGGTTGCTTGGTGTCAGAAATCGACAAGGTGATGCCATCTTCCTGTAAAGACTATCACTAGAAATGATATAAACTATAAATGTTGTATTTTTTTTAATTATTAAACCTACAATGTTTTTTTTTTTATTGCCCTTGTAGGCAAACGAGCATACGGCCCACCTGATGGTGAGTGGTTACCGTTGCCCATGGACTTCAGCAATGCCAGGGGCAGAGCCAAGCCGCTGCCTACCGCAAATGTTGTTCTTTCGTCGTGAAAGTAATTCTTTATTGAAACTTATTAGCCTAGAAAACCTTATTGGTCATTCGAATGTTTCATTCTCAAAATGTTCAAATATGTAGATACAATAACATGTTACACGTAATGAAAATATTTTAAAAACTTCAAACGGTATCTTACAAATTGAAACGATTTTTTATTTATTAAGAACAGTGGAATTGGCTTTTATTGGAGAAATAGTAGTAAAATATAAGTATTAAGCTGGCAACATCTCGCCTATCTTCTTCAACCCCTCAATGCCTCAGCATTGGGTGGACACGGGTACGAACCGGACACGGGTACGAACCGGACACGGGTATGGGACACGGGACACGGCGAAGATACCTACATGAGTGTAGGTATCTTCGAAAGCACCCCATTCTCTTCGGTCTCTTGCCTTTCTCATCCAGCCCCTACCAACCACTTTGACCAAGACGTCGGTCCATCTCGCCCATGTAAGTGACTAAAACCCTAGTTCCAAAATTAACTACTATTCAACAGAACCTCTGACAACGATACTCGGTGGACCAGAGCTCTTCATCAACACTGGAAGCACGATAAACCTAACGTGTGTCGTGCAGCATTCCCCGGAGCCTCCCCCTGCAATACGCTGGACGCATAAAGAAGAGGTAAGAGATAATATTTTTCCTTATGTCTTAAAAAGGGGTAACTCTTATGAGTCCGCACGGTGAAGGTATAACATCGTGTAATAAAAATCAAACCCGCAAAATTATAATTTGCGTAATTACTGGTGGTAGGACCTCTTGTGAGTCCGCACGGGTAGGTACCACCACCATGCCTATTTTTGCCGTGAAGCAGTAATGCGTTTCGGATTGAAGGGTGGGGCAGCCGTTGTAACTATACTGAGACCTTAGAACTTATATCTCAAGGTGGGTGGCGCATTTACGTTGTAGATGTCTATGGGCTCCAGTAACCACTTAATACCAGGTGGGCTGTGAGCTCGTTCACCGATCTAAGAAATAAAAAAAAATGGTTTGGCAGTTCGACTAAACTAGTAAAATTTTATATTAATTTGGCTGAGTAAAGCTCTAAAAAATATGCTTTAAAAGCTGAAAGGAATTATCTGTGGATGGTTTAAGTCAGTACTTAAAAGCTGAAAGGAATTGTCTGTAGATGGGTTAAATCAGTAATCAAATAAGGTTCCTACTAAAATAGACTAATGCTGAAATAGTCGTTAAAGGAACCAAATCTTCCGACTAAAACTTCAATTACTATCACGTAATTCTGGCTATAGGACGTAGAAACATACAGAAGAATTGATTCTGAAATAAAGTTAATCAGACAGAAGACAGTTCATCATTCATTTTCACAGTCAGGTTAGTTTTCTTAAGAAAAATAAAGAAAGTGCCTAGAATATTCAATTATCTACACGTATCTTGAAGAAGTATTATGCATTAGAGTATTAATAATTTTCTTCTTTGAATACCGATTCAAATGTCACTAATATCAATGCCAGCACAAACTAATCTCAATACCTCAATTAAAACATAAATTGACATTGATATTTTTCAGATTATTTAAAAATAAAAACAACAATGTTTTATTACATAAAACAAAATTATAATCTATAATCATACTAATGTTACTCTTCTAACTTATTTGTTTACTTAGCGCCATTGCATTATAACATCTATATATAATTATTAATACGCGAAGGAAAAACTTTGTATCCCTTTTTACGAAAATTCCGCGGACGGAGGAGTATGAAATTTCCCACACTTATAGAGAATATAGAGAAGGAGTGCACAATGTTAATATTTTTTTTAAAATAATAATAAAAGATACATTAAATCAATAAAAAAAACATGACACACACTACAATATATTTGACGCACACACGCATAATTATTTACTGTCAAACTTTTGTTCTTGACGTTTTCTTTTTCTATGATTGAAATATTACTGGTGGCCTGAAGGCCTTTCCTGTTTCACCAGGACACGTGGGCGAGCAAAGGCTCAGCCAGGAGGGGTGGGATTTGCTAACAGCTACCCGAGCGCCTCCGAAGGAGACCTAACAGCTCAAGAGTAGCTGCTTCGCGAATGAATCTACTACCGGATCGGAATCGCGACCCGCTGAGAAGATCCGGCGAGAAACTCAGCGAGCTGATCCATGGGTTAGGTTGCACGGCGAACTCTTTGTCGAGTTCGACGAGTACGGTTACCGAGGTCCCTAAGCCTGCTCCTAGTGTTAGAGCTGAAGGCGTCTAATGCAAAGGTTATTGGATCTGATGGATCCGTAAGGACGTGTAGGGCGTCGACGGTGACTGGCTCCTGCGTGATCAGGATTCGGGGAGTAGTCAGCGGTGGCAACGATAAGGCGATTATCATGACGCATAGCCTTATCGAAGTACCGTTCCGACGCTGACTTCATGTATTTCTGGATAGATTCGAGGCCCAGGTCGTCGTGTAGGTCAACGTTCCTCACGAACCACGGAGCTCCGACGGCTAACCTGCAAAAGCGGGATTGTAGAGATTGGAGGGTGTCTATGTGTGTGCGGGCCGCGTGAGCGAACACCACACTCGCGTAAGTCATGACGGGCCTTATGCAAGTTTTGTAAAGTGTCACCTTGTTCCGAAGGGACATTTTACTCCGCTTACAGATCATGGGGTAGAGTCTACCGAGAATAAACGCGGCACGGTCACGGACTGATTTTATATGCGGGCGGAATGTCATCGATGCATCCAGGGTAACGCCCAGGTACTTGACCTTCCTGGCCCAGGGTATGGGTTGTCTAAAGAGAGTAATCGGGGGTGTGAGATTCCTCCTCCTAATCCGGGAGGAAATCCGTGTGGAGCTTCCCCTCTGAAATAGCACCGCAGTACTTTTCGCTGGGTTGATGTCTATGCGCCATTTTCGGAACCACTGTCCTAGGGCTAGGGCTGCGCTCTGAAGCTTCTTCGCGATTAGGGACTTATTTCTACTAGAATAGTAAACAGTCGTGTCGTCGGCGAATAAAGCTAAATGGGTCGGCGGCGACCGGGGAATATCGTTGACGAATAAGCTAAATAGGAGGGGTGAGAGGACAGAGCCTTGCGGGACTCCAGCTGTGAGAGGTCGTGGGGAGGAGCGGGTTCCCTCGACTCGATATCGAAAAGAGCGGTTCGACAAGAAGTCCCGTATGATGAGCACGAGACTATCCGGCACGCCCATGTTGAATAGTTTGAAAATCAAACCATTGTGCCAGACTTTGTCGAACGCTTTTGCGACGTCGAAGAAGAGAGCTCCCGTGTATAACGGTTTTGGTCGATTAAGCCCCACAAGAATGTGCTCCGTGAGGCGGTGCACCTGTTGAACGCATGAGTGATTTGTACGGAATCCGAATTGTTCATCGATGAGAATGCCCTTGGATGAGACGAAGTCTCTGAGGCGTTTGTAGAGCAGACGCTCATACAGTTTGCCTAGAGACATGAGGAGGCTAATCGGGCGGTAGCTCGTCGGATGATTTTTTGGTTTACCGGGTTTATGTATGCCGATAACGTCCGCTTCTTTCCACACCGCGGGAAAGATACAGTTCGCCATAGCGGCATTGAAAATAGATGCCAACATCACGATGAGTTGAACGGGTAGAAGTTTAATAACGCGGTTGGATATACCGTCGGAACCGGGAGCCTTGCGAGGACGTAGGTCTTCGATCAAGTCTTTAACTTCCATCGGGGTGATGTTCTTGACGTCTGTGGTCAAATTGAGAATAGATTAAATATTGTTTGTCTTTATTACTATTTTTCTATAGTGTAGTCTTGGCGAAATTTATGATTATAGAAGTATAATGGTCTTTGAAAATAGAATCATAATAGTGTACAAACTTACAATTTCAATTAATTATAGTCGAATTTCGACTACTGCGGGACCACTAGTTCCTTTAAAAATTGCTCGTATGTAATTTGTACCTACTCGATTTACGAACCTTATAACTAAGGCTCCAGAAATATCCTCAAAAAAAAAACGATAGATTTTTCCTAACTTTGGGTTCGTCTTGGCAGTTTTCTCTGTAAATATTTACCTTGCTTACTTTGCATAGCCCACGAGTTTGATACTTTCGAATAGGTTACGTAACCACAATGCTGAGCCTTGACCTAAATAAGGGACGATACTGTGAAGACATCGTTTGTCAGATGTCGGTGTCAACTTTTGTCGTTCGTAAATCTTATTCCACCGCTTTTGAAGCAACTTAATGATCTTAATGTTCTGGGACCGATTTTAAAAATACAATAAACAAATCAAATAACTTTACTATTAAAGACTTATAAAATAGTCTCTGTAAGAAAATCATGACGCATTTGTATTTTTATTTGTAAGCATCCATTTGAATTGCTGAAGTTTTTCTACTATCATTCAAAGTAGGCTTCGGGTTGTAAGTCATTGATCGATATCAGAAATACCTGAGATGTTTCTACACCGCTACATGGTGCTAGGAACTATTATGACAACTCGCTTGGAAACGGAAATATTATGGCATGGGGACTGGACTGAGGCAATGTATTTATTGTCCAAACAGAGGGTATGTGGCAAAAAATAGGATGCGCATTGCAGATGTAAAACAACAGAACAAGTACAACAAAGTTTTTGTTTGAAGTCGTCGTGGCCCAAAGTATAAGACGCCCGGTGCAGTCGTATCAAGCGATGCAACGGTGTTTGAATCCCGTAGGCGAGTACGACTTTTACTAATGAAATACGTACTTAATAAATGTTCACTATTGACTTCCACAATGAAGGAATAGCATCGTATAATAAAACTCAAACTCGCAAAGTAATAATTTGCTAATTAATGGTGGCCAGACGTTTTGTGAGTCAGCAGTATGATTTAGTACCACCACTCTGCCTATTTCTTTCGTGACACAGTAATGCGTTTCAGTTTGAAGGGTGGGGCAGCCGTTGTACTGTAAAAACTGAGACCTTAGAACGCATATCTCAAAGTGGGCAGCATTTACGTTGTAGATGTCTATGGGGTAAGCACTTAACACTAGGTGGGCCATGAGCTCGTTCACATATCTAAGCAATATATAAAAAGAATGTATGTAGGATTTAGATAAGCTTAAGTTTTTGATACACTAAGTGAGAGAGTAATTCAGGAACATCATCACATCAGTAAAGTAAAGTTTTTCGTCAAAAATAAATCAACTTGAATGCTTTCACGATGTGGCTCGTAGCGATACTCAAAATCTGTCGTTAAACCAAACGAGAGCTCCGAGAGGACCTAGTTGGGGATGCGCATTCCAGTTTTCATCATCTCACGGTCTACGTTTGAATTAGAACCGGGAGTAAAGTCGATAGAAATATAAGAATATCATGGCGTCGTGGGACGCCTGACAGATTTGAGGGACATACGGTGGAAAAACTTTTCAAATTTCAAACAAACAATATGATGATAATTAAGAATGAATATACTGACTCGGTGGTGTAGTGGTTGACGGCCCTGACTGTTGCGCCAAGGGTCGTCGGTTCGATTCCCACATCGCACAAATTCGGGCGATGAACAGGTTTGTTTACTCTTGGTCTGGGTGTTTATTATCTATAAGTCGGAGAAGCCACAATTCTTAACACCATCGTCAGACATTGTAGGGGCAACTAGAGTGATCGAGCTAAGATAAATATTGAGTACACCAATAA